CCCCCATTTTACTGATGACGGAGCTTAAGACTGGGGGTGGCGGGGGTGGGGGGGAAATTAGGAATCTTCGAGTCGGGATTCGAACCCCGCGCTGAGTACGGCCTCGGCGGGTCCCGCGGCCCGCGCTGCCCGCTCCCTCGCGCACCGTGACCTTAACTCGGCACGTGCGGGTCCCGCCCGCCCCCCCACATTGTCCCTGCTCGGGGAGCGCGGGCCGGGGGCCTGGTGGAGGGACCGCGGGCAGCCGCGCTCAGTTTGGGGTCCGCGTTTAGGGACCCCCCCTGCACAGCTTTAGGGACCCCGCCCGCGCGCCCCGCCCCTTCCGCGGCCGGGCCGGCGCTGCCTCTGTCCATGGTCAAAGCACCCGGGTAATCCGCCTTTTTCTTCCGCCCGCCGCGCCCCATTCATATTCTAATCACAGCGCGGCCGCCCGGCGAACGGCCACTTTATCGGGGCCCGCAGAGGCGCAGCCCGCCCCCCCACTTCCACTTCCAGCCCCCCAGCCCCGCGGCCCCCCCTCTTTCTGCACTTTAAACTCCGCCGAGGAGGGGGTCCCTGGGAAAAGCGCGTCCCCACTTGGGCGCCGGGGCTTCTCACCAACTTCGCGGCCGGTTGGGGGGCGGGGGCGAGGGCGGGGGGGCGGGCGGGAGGGGCTGAGACGGACAGACTGACAGACAGAGTTACGGGAAGAGGCGGGGGGGGGGCCGCGGGGGTGTCAGAGAAACCAAGGGGGATAGAGACACAGAGGGACAGAGTCCTCGGGAGAGACAAAGAGACGTGGGGGCGGGGGCTGGACGGAGAGACCAGCAGCCAAAAAAGGGGCAATCGGGGGGCGCCGGGCGCGCGAGGGGGGGCAGCGCGAGCAGAGACGGGGGGCTCGGCGGAGGAGAGAGTGGGGGAAAAGCAGAGAGCCGGGGCGCAGGCGACAGCCGCAGTGGGAGCCAGAAAGTTCTGGAGACGCGCAGGCTCTCGCGCCCTGCGCGAGGCCTTCTGGCCGCCAGGTTGGGGGGATGGGGTCCCGGAGCAGCAGGCCCCCCGTCTTCGCTGCCCGTCGCCACGCGTGTCCGCGGCCCCGCGTGGAAGGGGTCCAAGCATCCCTCCTCCCGCATTCCCAAGGCGCCCCCCCAAATCTAACCCGGGACCCAATGGGGGGGGGCGCAGGAGAGGGGCTCCACTCGCGGCCGTGTTGCGACGCCCCAGGCTCCCCGGAATCCCCGGCCTCGTCCTCCCCGCACCAACACCCCCGCCCCCACGCCTGCGCCGCGCGGGGTCCGGCCCGGGGAGGGGCGCGCGGGGGAGGGGGGCCACATCTAAGCCAATTTTGATTTTGCCTATAATGAGTGCCGGGCGAGGGCTGGAGAAGGCCTCTGGAACTTTAAATAAGAAAAACGTTGCTAATGCTATAATAGAAGGGGGAAGTCGGCGGGCTGGGATTGCGTCGCTCCGAGCCCCCCTTTTCGGAGGCGGCTTTTCTTATTCAAAACAGGCCCACAATGGGCTTCACAGTGCGCCTCGCCACGGCCCCATCTGACGAGCGGCCATTCATCAGGCCGGCTGGCCTATCAATGACATTGCTCCCATCGGGGCTCCTATAAAATGATGCTTTTTCCCATGAAACATCCGCAAACATTTTGACGGGTTTGGCTTTGCCCGGCTGGATTACTGAGTGTCCCCGCGCTCGCCCGCTCGCGCGCCCCCTTCTCGCGCTCTCCCTTCCCTCCCGGCGCCTTCTCCTTTCTCTTTCTTTTCCTTCTTTTCTCCTTTTTTGCCCTTGCACGCTCCGTCTCTCCTCCTGCTCCCCGCCTCGCTCCCTTCCTTGCTGGGCGTCTCCAGCACAGGGGATCCCCAAACATCAGGACTTTTGGGGGGCGCCTGTGCTGTCCATGGGAAGAGCATGCATTGTGGGTTACTGGAGGAACCCGACATGGATTCCACAGGTTAGTCCTGCCGGTGGGGGTTGGGGGAGACCTCGGGAGGCAAAGAAAAGGGACCGAGGGAACTTTGGGAAGAGTTGCAGAAAGTTCAGAAGGGTCAACTTGACAGTGGAACCCCGGGGAATAACGGGGAAGGCGCACGAGCTCTCAGCCCGGCGCGGAGCGCGGGGTGAGTGGAGGGTGAGCGTGAGTGTGTGCGCGCGTGTGAGTGTGCGCGCGCGCGCGCGGGTGAGTGTGTCGGCTCGCGCAAAGGAGCGCGCTTTAGCTTGCCCGGGACACAAAGTTCCATAAAGATTCACCGGCTCGCGGCGAGCTCGAGGTGCCACTTGTAGAAACTTTGCGAGCCGACCGCCCCCTCTCGGACCCGGCTCCTCCCCCGGGTTTGGGGGCGCCGGAGTAGCGGTGCGCGCTGAGGCTGGTGGCGAGGGCCGGGAAGCCGAGCGGAACGCTAGGGAGGCGGGGGAGGGTGACGGCTTCGCCGGGCGCTGAAGGTGGGGATCCAGACTCTGGCTGGTGGCGATGCGCAGTTGGAAGGAGTGGAGGCGGCGAACCCGGTGGTCCCACGGACTCGGTACCCGGTCGGGAAGCGGGAGCTCCCTGCCGGGAGTCCCGTGCGAGCTGCAGCCTCCCCGCGGCCAAGGGGCGCCCGACAAGGCGCTGGGCTGCAGGGCTGTACCCCTGCTGGAGGGAAGGCAGGACTCGGCGCTGCTGAGGAGGCCTGGAGTCAGAGTCTGCAAACTGCTGGGCACTTTGGAGGCTGTTGGCTGTGGGCATCTGGTTTGGGGCTCTTGGCGGCCCACAATAACCCAGGAAGGGAGCCAAGGAATCTCTTACAACGAAAAGGCCCTGGCCTCTGAGTTCTTTCTCTAGTAGAGCCTGCCTCACCTCCCACTTCTAGCACCTTTCAAGAGCGGCCAAACTGCCAGATCTGAGCTGTGCTCCCTACATCCATCCCTTCCAGGTTGGAGAAGTTCTCTGGAAGTTCTCTTCCTCCCCCAGGCGCAGGTTCCCACCCTGCCTGCTCCAATCCTAGCGGGACTGCAGCCTTGGCTTCTTGAGGATGGAGCTGGGGAGAGGCAGATACTGGGTAGGGAGCAGCCTGGTGCACAGCTTGGGAGGATGCCTCGGAGCTTCGCTGCAGGGTGGAGCAACAAGTGCCTTCCAGCCTCTGCCATACCCTAACACCACCCGTCCCTTCCCGGAGCAAATCAACACCAAACTAATGTTCTCCCACCTCCAACCCAAAACAGGCTGGGGATGGATGGGGGCAGAGGGCAGGGGTCATCTGGGCACGCCCCAAATGGTCTTTCTTCCATCCTGAAGAAAGATTCTGACCCCGCCAGGCTTCTGCCCAGGCTGTGGTGGCCAGGACACCTAACCTCTCCTGCCAGGGATGTCTTTGGGTTTCCAGAGTAGTTGTCTACCTCTGATCCCAACGGTTAAGTCTTTCTCCCACTGCACTCCCACCACAGTGGGTGCAGGACCCCTGGGAGTGGAGAAAGGCTGACACCCCCAAGAATTCATTCTATGCCATGACAAACGAAGTCAAGCAGGGCCATTGCCTGTGGAGTCACCCAGGATCCTGCTGGGGTCTACACCACTGGCAGTAAAGGCTCCCAGAAAGAACCCCTCCCTCCATATTTTTATGTCAACTATTTGCGGCATTCTACACCAGCTGAGCACCCCAACTTCAGAAACAACTATCCTTCAACAAAATTAAGCCCATGTCTGCACTGTTAGGGGCCAAGTATTTGCTCACTTGTGGGTCAGTCTGTAATCCACGCTCCCCACTGCCCAGCTGGGGGTGTTAGCCGCCTCCTCTACAAGACTCAAGTTTCTCCTGCCTTGTGGGGAGAGCTGTGCGGCTGTGGAAACGTTCAGTTGCCCGTCCTCCGTGTAGCGGCCAGTGCGTGGAGGCACCGAGTCCCTTTACCCTCGACTACAAATACCCCAAATGAGTTCTGAAACCGAAATCCTTTCCTCATCCATTCCTTCAAATCTGGAGACATCCCTAGACCGTTATCCGGACCTCAAAATTAAAAGCTTTGGAAAAGGGCAGGGTGAAGAAATGACAGGCGGCGCTCGGGCTAGCAGAACCGGCCACGAGCAAAGTGCGGTTCGCGGCGGTTCGGTCCACGAGCCTTTCCTTGTCTCCTTTCCAGAGAGCTTAATCCAATTAGCTTTCCTTCTGAGGTTGCCTTGTTATGTAAAGGTTCCTTCCCCGGCTCGCCGAGGCGAGCGCGGCATGGAGCGGTCAGGTTCCTCTCCTTTCAGGGCAGATTGCGCGCGACCTGCGCCACGAGTGTTATTATTGTTATTTCATTCTGAAAGGGCTTGAACAACCGAGTCGCAGCAAGCGCTGGGGCGAAGTCGGGAGCGCCCAGGATCAGAGGGGCCGGCGAGTCGGGCCTCCGCTCCCAACTCTTAAAAGGAAAATCCCTGCAGAGTGCCTCGGGTCCAGGAGAACAGTTTTGCCGGGGCCGGGACTCTAGTGGTCTGCCTTGGGGCCACTTCAGCGTGACCTGCGGAAACGCGCCCCTTTGTTCGGCGCACCGAGCCGGTAATATATTCCTCGAGTTTTCCCAAAATACTCAACAAGTGCGGTGCTAAAACAATGGCCCCGTCGGGGGCGGCCGGGGAGCCGACGCGCGCCTCCTGGGCCCTCAGCTCGCTCGCCGCGGAGCGCCACAAAGCCGGCGCCCCCTCCCCGGAGCCGGGCCGCGCAGCCCAGCTCGGGCCGGCGGGCCAGGCCGCAGCGCGCCCCTTGCGCCCTCGCCGCGCCGGCCGGTGCGCGGGCCGCACTCAGCTCCGCGCAGACCCACGCGGCTGCCGGCGGCCTCCACGCGCCTCTGGCCCTTCGGGCCAGCCCTGCCTGCCCAGGCGAGCGTTGCTCGGTTACTCAAGGGACCCGGCAATTCGAGAACGAGGTGGGGGGAAGCAGGTAGAATTTTAGGCCCCCCCAGAACGTGTGCAAAGTGAACGGGGCGGGGGGGGGGCTGGAGGGGGCTACGCAACAGAAGGGCTGTTTCTTCTTAAACGGGATGGTGCGTTAGAGAAGGGCACGGCCGGAGCCAACTGGACACTTTTGCCTCTACCCACTTTCCGTTCGGTCCTCCAGAATCCAGCGCTGGGGCCGCCCGCAGTACCCCTGGAGCTGGGTTCAAGCCCCGCGCACCGCCACGGCGGGAAGGCACGCTGGTCTGCGGGCCCTCGGCTCACCACAAGGCCCAGTTTGGCTTGGTGGGTCCCCAGGTGGGAGCACATATTGGCCTGGGCGCCTGGCCCAGGGGGCAAAGAGCGCCCGGGTGGGGACGCGCCCAGGGCTTCCTCCACTCTGGCCCACGCGTGCCCTCGGCGAAGAGCCGCCTGCTCCGGCCTGAAGGACCGGGCGGAGGGCTCCGGGGAGCAGGGGGTCGGGAGTGTGGGCTTTGCTCTCGCGCCCTTCCCCGGCGTGCGTGCGTGTGTGTGTGTGTGCGCGCGTGTGCGTGTGCGTGTCTTGCACTCCCCACCCTTGCCACCTGCCAAGCGCCGGCGTCTGGGTTTGGCAGCCGGGTCAAGTGAGAGCCGCGCGGGCCGCGGCTCAGGTCCGGCGGCTGCAGCCCAAGGCAGCGCCGCGCTGCGCGCAGGCCGGGCCGAGGGCGCCCCGCACACGGCGCCACCAGGCCCCGGGGACCGCGCGCTTCCCACCCGGCCCGCCGGGCCCCGAGACCCGGAAAAGTTTGCAGGGGAGCCCGGCCGCCAGGCCCTGGGATTTCCATAGCTGCGCCCGCCCCCCGCCCCGGCGCGTCGCCATGGAGACTGCTGGAAGTTGGTGGTGGAAAACAGACCCGGCGCAAAGCAAAATATTATGAGTGCAGTTGGGGTGACTTCAGGGGGCGGGGGACCGGAGGGTAGGAGCGGGAGCCAGAGGCAGAGGCCGACAACAAAGGGCCGAGCGCGAGGAGGCGAGGGGAGTTTGCTCGGGGCCTCGCCGCCGCTGCGCGAGAGCTGGACGGTCGGCCTCCCAGAGGCGCCGAGGGCTCTCATTTCTCTCATTTCTCTCCAGCAGTTACACCTTTCCTCAGCCCGCCCGCGGGTCCTCACCCCTGCCCTCCCCTGCGGATTCCCTCCAGCGCCCTGGGGTCCCGAGGTTAGGCGCCAGCTGGGCCGTGCGCCCGCCTCCCCCGCGAGCTGCAGGCTCACCGCCCTGCAAGGTGCTGGCGTTTCTTCCCCACGACCCGGGAGGAGTTTCTCACTCCTCCTTGTCCACCCGGACCTTGACGGGCGAAGGGTGAGGATAAGGCGTGAAGAGAAGAGGTGGAGGTGCGTGCTTAGAAATCTTGGGGAGGCAGAAAGATCTTACCTGATTTTTTCTTCCTTTGTACAGTGGGTAAAGGTCTGAGGTCTAATCCCGACTCGGCCACTTGTAAGGCTACTTTTGGCGAATCTTCTAGCTTTGACAACATTCCTTTTTATTGCCTGTGGGATGAAGAGCAGCACAGCTCAGTCTGGGATTCTCTGTCCTATATGGGGCAGCCCTGTGTGATGCTGGTGCTCACCATCTGAACTAGGGTCCCCGGCACAATGCCTGCATTTCTCCCCAAACCAAGAATACACTAGCATTTTAGCAAGTCATCTTCAAAGGCCTAGCATTTTCCTTGTCAGTTCACCTGAGACGCATTCCTTAAGACACTCATTTTCTGAGGCTTTACGCCCATCCACTGAAATGCCTCCTGATGATAGAACCAACTTCCCAGACTCACCTTTTGCCTGGGAGGACACACTGGCCCACGTGGGGAAGTGTTGCCATCAATGGGCAATCGGCCTCTAGCCTTCCTTATGGAAGCCCTTAAAGAGAGGTGGTCTCCTGTCACACCTCACCACCCCTCTGGGTGTCCCCCAGGGGGGGTGGTCAGAGAGCCCTCCCCTTCTCTCTGAGACTCAGATGCCTCATTTGTAAATGAATGAACCGGACATAAAGATCGCTGTGCTTATCTAGGATTCTGCCACTCAGCTACCTGCCTGTGTCCTCCTCCTGACATATATGTGACATTGGCCGGGTTCTTTGTTCACCAAGTAGTTTTACAGCCGATAGTCCTCACAGGTGCTCCAGGAGGGAGTGATCCCTGGGACTTGACTGAGGCTCAGGGTTTGGCTTCCATTTCCAGGATTTTCAGATAGTGATTCTGAGTCAAGTTGGTGTGCTTGTCT